TTTTTTTTTTTTTTTTTTTTTTTTTTTTTTTTTTACTGGTGAAGATTAAGAGGAAGGAGAAATTTCAGCCTGAGTCTCAAATTTTAGGGTGAATTTGCAGGCCTGACAGCAAGAAAAGTAGCAGCAACAGCAACAAAACATCCACAATTTTTATTGCAACAGAGCAAACTACTACGGAAACCACTGAGATTTAGTAAACACCGATCCATAGGCTGTTATGTCTACAGAATCACGTCACAAAACAGAATAACATTTAAAATCTTGATAAGCAAAAGATGTAAACCTGGAAACCAATACTTTTCTCTTGTGACAACTTAATAAACTACATTATTTGCCAAGAATGACTAAAAAGCATGTAACAAGGGTGTGTGAGAAAGATAGTCCATATTTAAGCATACTACACTCTTCGGACGTACAAGAGATTAAAAACGACAGTGGATATAAAATAACAAAGCATGAGTAGAGTCATGATCATCAGCCAGGAGCTTTCACTATTTTTGGAGAGAAAAAACCATTTCTGTTTTTTGCAGACACAGGCCAAGTACTTACATTGACGTACACTCTATGCCCTGCCAGTAAAGTAAATGGAGTAATACAGTGTGTAAATGTCAGGAAACATTTTGGTTTGTGTTCTGTTAGGCAGGCTGAAAAAATCAACATGAAATTACTATCTATCTATACATTATAGTTTCACACCAGCTGGAGTGGTGTCAATATTTCTACCATACAAATCCTTGCTGGATTTAATCAATTAAACAGAAGTAGGGTATTGAGATAGGGGAGATGCATGCTAAATTTAGAGATGTCCTGAATTGGTTTAACCTACTAGTGATAAAATAACACCTAAGATTACCCTTAGATTAAGCTGTAATATAGTCACATTAGTGTGGTGCCACTTGCATGCCAATAATGTTGTTACCTCTTGGCAGAGTTCTCTAGAATGTGTACATCTGTGCATAAAGGCAGCTACACTGCATGCAGTTCAGGAGCTAATGTGCATGGAGGCATGTTTCATCAAAGCACTGTCATGCACCATACAGACATATCCAGTACATGTAGACTGTGTACAGACATTCAGGGAGGTTATGGGGAGGTTAGATTGAGTTAAAAATGGCCACCCAATCTAAGGCAAATTGGAATGTGGGAACTAGTGGGGGAGGGTTTATGGGGATTGGGGGGGCAGATGGGATCACGGGAGGGGTTGAGGGGATCAGGGGGGCCGGCTGAATCCACAGGGGAGGTCTGGGAAGCAAGCAGG